GGTTTCTCCCTTTTCTCATCTCCAATCACCTGTCAGTGTCTCTCCTTAGCTAATCCCCTCAGGGACCTGGGAAACACAGCTTGCAAAGGTCAATACCCCAGAGCGGGTTGCAGGAAAGAGACAGAACAGGAGAAGGGTAAAGAGTGATAGCAAACAGGCTAAGGACATCTACCCAAAGGTTATTGAAATGATCTCTTTCCTATTTTACTTCCCTGGTCAATGAGGATTTTGAGGGCAGGGAATTCATTCACATCTGTATCCCCAGGGTCCATCATGTGTTTAATGACTGTAGCAGATTATTCACTGCCCTCCCTGTAGAGGATTTTACATCCCTACAGATTGCCAAGTGGCTTGCAGTGCCTCCTTGTGGGAGGTATATATCGCCTTGTTTTGGCCAATGGATGTGGCCATTCCAAGTCTCACCAAAAGCATTAAGAAGAGCCTTTGTGTGGTTTAGCCATCCCAGATTGGATCCCAGAGTAAGAAGCTGGAACAGAGCTTCAGCTTACTTGCAGTGGCATGTAATGTGAGAAACAAACAAACAAACAACTTTACGGTATTATCTAAGCTTCTGAGTTGGGTTATATATTACTGCAACATAATCTAAAGAAATCTCACTAACATTGTGAATGAGGGTGGAAATTGAAAAGAAACTATGGCAGGCTTTTGGGAAAACACCACTGGATGATAAAATGGGAGCCTTAGGATTTTAAGTCCAAAGGCTGAGTTTTGAGTAGTACTGGGCCTGCCCTCTACTATCTGTATGGCTCAGAAAACTTACATAATCTTTTTTTTTTTAAATAAAAACAATTCTACTCAAGGGGTGAAGTGGAGGGGATCAATGGGGGGATAATGGGACATGTGTAATACTTTCAACACTAAAGATAAATTTTAAAAAATAATAATTTGAAAAAAGAAAAATGAAACAATTCCACAGCCCTGGCCAGTATGATTTGGTTGGGTGCCATCCCATGCACCAAGAAGTCTCCGGTTCAGTTTCTGGACAGGGCACATGCCTAGTTTGCAGGCTCGGTCCAGAAGGGGGTATACAGAAAGCAGCCAATCAATGTTTTGCTCTCACGTCGATGTTTCTCTCTCTCCCTCTCCCTTCCTCTCTCTCTAAAAATCAATTAAAAATCTTTAAAAAATAAAAACAATCCCACAGCATTTATTGTCATAAATAAATAACATAAGGGCAATCAAAGCAATATGAATAAATGTTTAAGAACCATACTCCCGCCCTAACCAGTTTGGCTCAGTGGATAGAGTGTCGGCCTGAGGACTCAGGGGTTCCAGGTTCGATTCCGGTCAGGGGCATGTACCTTGGTTGCGGGCACATACCCAGTGGGGAGTGTGCAGGAGGCTGCTGATCGATGTTTCTCTCTCATTGATGTTTCTAACTCTCTATCCCTCTCCCTTCCTCTTTGTAAAAAATCAATAAAATATATATATTAAAAAAAAAAGAACCATACTCCCAACAAAGGGCACTTAAAAGACACAAACTGTTAAGGTTACATAATCTTTAAGTAAAAAAATAAAGACACAGGAGTGTGCAAGAAAACACAAAGTGGTCTGGACTCCGCTTCTTCATCAGTACAACGGAGCTGATGATAATGCCACCTTCCAGGCTATGAGGGAGAGAGGGTCATAAGAGAATTGTTGTGAAAACACATTGCGAACCTCACCAAAGTTAGTTACTGTCATCAATGCCAACTAGGTCTTTTTTCCTCTGGAACTAGGCTTAGTGATGCAAGGTTTCAATGATTCATACCAATCCAAAAACTTCCAGCAAGCACCTAAAATAGGCAAGGCAGCATACAAGAGTCTGTGGAGTCTGAGTGGAGAATTGTGTGAATTGAAATTACGGATCAAAGAGGAATAGAGCCAAACAGTCCTTCCCAGTCAACTAATCCATATCCCTGTCTTTCAGAGGGGCAAACAGACCCACAGACAGGAAACAAAAAGCTCAAGGTCATATAGTAAACTAGGGGCAGAGACAGGATAAAACATTCAATCTCCTCACTTCTAGTCTGATGCTTTTCCCACTATACTTCGCTGGAGTGAGTGCATGTATGTGTTTTGAAACCACATTTTAAATCGGTCTCTTCTTCTCTTGTAGGCAGAAGCACATTTACCTTTTTCTAGCCTCCCTGGGCTCTGGCCAGACCATTCCCAATCAGATGCGGGGAAGGGACAAGCAGCCCCTTCTGAAGGGCACAGGGAGGCAGAGGCCCTAAAATGCCATGCTTCCTGGAATAGGAGGCCCTGAAACTCCTCCACCCTCCCAAAGATCCACTTTCCCCAGGGTCTTTACAGCCTTGCTCATGTCCCAGGAACTTCACAGAAGACCTGTTGCTACTCACTCACAGCTTCAATAAATGCTAGTTGCTGGCCATATCAGTAGTCTTGGCTGAATGAGCTGAGAAAAGCTTAAAAAAAAAAAAAAGCCTGAAGAGAATGCAGAGAATGGCACTGCAGCACTGATGAGCAGAGAATGGCACTGCAGCACTGATGAGCAGACCACTGAAATGTACTTAATAGCCGGCATAGCAGAGGGAAAAGACTAGGGTGGTGATGAGAAAGGCTGAGCATCTTCCCTCACTGTTCCCAGGTCTGACCACTTCCTTCCAAAATTCTTACCATGGCCCACAAGATTCTGTGATCTGGTCTCTGCCTACTTCTCCACTCTCATCTCACACAATTCTCCCCTTGATTGTTTAGGCCCTGTGACATGCTAACTTTTTCTCATCTTTTAGTTCTCAGCTTAAGTGTTACTTTCTCAGAAGATCTTGACTCTCCCGTCTAAAATTAGGTCTCTCTTGCCCTACCTGGTTTGGCTCAATGAATAGAGTGTCAGCCTGCGTACTGAAGGGTCCCGGGTTCGATTCTGATCAAAGGCACATTCCCGGGTTCCTGGCTCAATCCCTAGTGTGGGTCATGTAGGAGGCAGTTGATCAATGATTCTTTCTCATCGTTAATGTTTCTGTCTCTCTCTCTCCCTCTCCTTTCCTCTCTGAAGTCAATAAAAAATATTTTTAAAAAAATCAGGTCTTTCTTTTTCACTTTCTTCATAGACTGGTAACTTATGTTACTTTTATCTGCCCACCATACCTTTCTTTAAGGAGCCCTTATTTTAAACAGTTTGGTGGGACTATAGGTTATAATACTTGCCTCCCCCAGCTATTGGGGTAGGCATGTGACTCACAGGGGACCAATCATATTCTTCCCTGAGATTTATATATGGTGGCTGGGAGAGAGAAGCTCTTTTTGCAGGAGTTGGGACAATATGAATCTGGAGCTGCCATCATTCACCTTACTCCCCATGCAGTGTTTGGCTACAGGAAGAGGCTGAAGGGATAAGCAAAGCTGAGAACTAGAGAGTGCAATTAAGTCCAAGATCTATTGGACTTCACATGTATGTGAGCTATATATATATATTTTTTTTAAGTTTTTATTGAAACCTAGTTTGATTTGGGGTTTTATCACTTGTCATAACAAAAGTCCTAACTTATGCAGAACTTATCACAATTTTTAATAGCTTTATTAAGATATAATTCAAGTACCAGGTAATTCACCCATTTATACCATTTGAATTATATATTTTTGTATAACTATTTGTTTAAAATTTATTTCCTCATTAGTTCCAGGACAATAAGGATTATAGCTGTTTTCTTCACTGTTATATCTCAAGTGCCAAAACAGAATTTGCCTGGTTCAGAGTACATGCTCAAAAAATATTTTTAAATGAATAACTGAGTAAATGTATGAATAAATGAAAATCTACCCTAGTCTGGGTGCTTGGGAATAATGAAACAAATTAGACATAACTTTGCTGCTCTTGAGGTCAAGTAAGCAAGTTCTGGCTAAGCAATAGAGGAACGTTCAGGAAGTTGAGTAGGACAGAGATTGGTTACCTTGGCCTGCCCAAATCTGACCACTTCATTAAGGCCTTCTTCAAGTGCCTCCCTAAACCCTTTATTAAGAATCTCACTTCCATCTATGTTTCTACGTAAGTTTGATAGATCTATACTGACTCCACTACTTCCTAACTATGTAATCTTGAGCAAATTACTTAATCTATGAACGTCATTTATCAAAGTATTGGGCATATCCTATAGTACCTACCTTGAAGGGTTATATTGAGAATTAAATGAAATAATGCAAAATACTTCATATAATGCTCGGCTCAATATATATCACTCATTATTACCATATTTGCCCTATAGTGTGGTTAAGTGGTTAGGCTCTGGAGCCAGACTGCTGCTTGAGTTCAAATTCTGACTCTACCTATTACTAACTGTGTGACCTTAAGCAAGTTACCCAACTTCTTTGTTCCTCAGTTTTCTCATCTGCTAAAAAAATAACTTGGAGATAAGAAAAGTACATGTCTCAGAGGATCTTAGGAGAATTGAATTAAATGAATAATACCTTAAAACATTTAGAATAGTGCCTGGCACATGGTAAACATCTAATACTTAACCAGCTTACTTTTAAAAAATCTTAGTCATAAGGACTTGGCATGCTGGCTATCTTTTTTCCTAATATAAAACTAATTCACCTTTTAAAAACGTAGCCTTGTTTAACTCTACGGGCTTGACATGCTGATTATATATTTTTTCTAATGCACACCAAAATATATACACAAAATCATCTTGCACACTCCCAGTGTCTTGGGTCTCTCTCTTTGGGAAACACTGCTCTAGGCTCGCATGTTCCCATGATTTATGGTTCCCTGAACACAATGTGCTATTCCTTGACTTTGTCAGCGTTATTCTCCCTGCTTAGAATGTCTTGCCTCGCTTTCTCCCTTGGCTGCTCCTACTTGTCTTCACGACTCAGCTTAGGCATCGTGTTCTCTGACCCCAACTGAATTAGGTGCCTCCTCTGTGCTCCCACAATCCCCAGCATATCCCGAGTCTATCACAACAGTGATCACTTGGGGTATCACTGTTTCTATCCTTCACAGACCAGGGAATGTATCCTATTTCACTGCACAGTACCTGGCATAGAGCAGGTACTCAGAAGTCTTAATTGGATTGAAGTAAAATGAGTAGCCAAATACATAACATAATACACATTTAATTGAAACATATTTGAGCAGCATCTTCTCAGTGCGAGGCCACATACTAGGCGCTGTGGGTACAAAGATAAATAAGATTAATTTCCTGGCCTCATGGAGCCTTTGGGAGATAGACAAGAAAACAAGGGCACCCAAGTGCCATGGGCACTGTGACTGCTGCCTGTATGGGGTACATTAAGTGGGGACCCAAAGAAAAGAGCTCTGGGCAGCCAGGAAAGGCTTCACAGAAGATGTGCAGCTTGAGTTGTTTTGAAAACTGTGTGTATGTGTGTGGGGGAGGGGGTGTTTCACTGGATGAATGAGGGTGGGGAATGGGACACAGAAGAGAGCATTCCAAACAGATGGGGTTTAGAGGGTCCAGGGAGGGTGCTGGGTGTTTCCCTGGGGACAGCAGGTTGAAGACATAAAGAGACAGCCTGAGGTCACCTAGGTGTGGGTGGCAGAACATGCTTTCTGTTCTGTGAACCACAGATGGGGGAGGTACTTTCTGAATCCTGAGAAACTCTGTGATGGTATAAGAAGAGTACGACCCAAGATGATTCAATCTTCCTTTTTATTATTTAACTAGAGGCCCGATGCATAAAATTCATGCACGGGGAGAATCCCTCAGCCCGGCCTGCACTCTCTCCAATCCGGGACCCCTTGGGGGGATGTCCGACTGCTGGTTTAGGCCCAATCCTAAATTGGCAGTTGGGCATCCCTCTCGCAATCCAGAACCGCTGGCTCCTAACTGCTCACCTGCCTACCGGCCTGATCCCCCTAACTGCTCTCCCCTGCCAGACTGATCCCCATAACTGTTCTCCCCTGCCAACCTGATCCTCCTAATTGCTCTCCCCTGCCGGCCTGATTCCCCTAACTGCTCTCCCTGCTAGCCTGATCCCCCTAACCACCTCTGCCTCTGCTCTGCCACCATGGCTTAGTCCTGAAAAATGTCCAGAAGGTCGTCCAGAAGATGTCTGGTCTAATTAGCATATTACCCTTTCAGTAGTATAGATATATTTATTTTTTAATCCTCACCTGAAGATATTTTTTCCATTGATTTTTAGAGAGAGTGGAAGGGAGAGGGATAGACAGAGAGAAACACTGATGTGAGAGACACATCAATTGGTTGACTCCCATATGCCCCCCACCAGAGCCGGGAGCCTGCAGGGAGCCTGCAACAGAGATATGTGCCCTTGACCGGAATCGATCCTGGGACCCTTCAGTCTACAGGCCAATGCTCTATCCACTGAGCCAAACCAGCAAGGGCCCTTTTTGTTATTTACCTACAGTTTGCTAGTTTCTATTTCAGAACACCCTGGGGAATAGGGGAAGGGAGAAAGAAGCATAGGACTCCTCCCCCAACACACACATACTCATAATACATGTAATATAAATATGTACAACACACAACACACATAATACAAATATATACAACACACTTGGACATTATACTGTACAGTTTACCTATCTACCAGCCCATATATCAGTACTTCAGAAATTTCCAGAGAGTGTAACTTTAAATCTCCTACTGCTGAAAACTTACAACACCTAAGTTGTGAGAACTATTTAGACTAGCTAAAAGCTAAGCAATAGAGGAAGATTTCTCTAAAGCAGTGGTTCTCACCTTCCTAATGCCGCGACCCTTTAATACAGTTCCTCATGTTGTGGTGACCCCCAACCATAAAATTATTTTCGTTGCTACTTCATAACTGTAATTTTGCTACTGTTATAAATCGTAATGTAATTATATATGCATTTTCCGATGGTCTTAGGCGACCCCTGTGAAAGGGTCGTTCGACCCCCAAAGGGGTCGTGACCCACAGGTTGAGAACCGCTGCTCTAAGGCGATCTTACATTAAACCCCAATACAGAAAAGAAAAGAAAAAGTTGCTATTTTAAGCAAGTATTGGCAGGGGTCCTCCTGCAGAGCCACCGAGACACACCTAAGGCACCTGGGTCTCAAGGGAGCACAAGAATCAAGAAACTTCAACCTTGGAAAAAGCCAGAGCATTACTGAGCTGCATACTTAAAGCCACACTGTTTCCTCCCTTCAAACAAGGACTTTTGTTGTGAAACATGTTTTGGCGAGGAAGGATCAGTTTACATTGGGAGAAAGTGTAAGACACATCCTGTGATGTTCAGTGCTATAGTTACTGTAGAGTTGTTTGATATGAAGGACATTATCACAAGCCGCATAGAGAGTCTGCCCTACAGTTGCCAATGAAGAGCAGCGCTTCTCTGGAATAATAGGTTTGTTTTTAATTTAAGAACCATCTCTGAACCATGTAACTGATTATGTTTCCCTCTTTGCAATGGTTGCTAGGAAGCTCGAAGCCAATATTTTGGCCCAACTCTTGCTTATCCCCAAGAATTTACAATATACATACTTATCTCACTGCAGGCTTCCTCTTATTTACCTCCTACCCTTGCTTTTCCTTTGCTCCAATGTTCTCACTTATTTAGGTTTTTTTTTTAATGTACTATGATGAATTTTATAAAACACCTTAAATCTTTTGTGGAAGGAGCTGGTGAAAAAAGCATTCATAATTTTAAGTTTTACTTATATATTGAATGTAACAAAATATATGCACATAATCATAAATTACCTAACATAAAGCTATATGTTCATCACATAAATATAAAACAATACATAGAGCACATCTATAATAATAAAAGCATAATATGCTAATTAGACCGGACGTCCCACTGGATGTCCTTCCAGACAAAGCCGCAGCGGGCAGGGGCTGTGACAGAGGTGGCAGAGGCCCCAGGCCATGGCGGCGGTGGGCAGGGGCTGCGGTGGCGGTGGCGGGCCGGGGCTGGGGCCAAGACCCTTGCACAAATTTCGTGCATCAAGCCTCTAGTATGTACGTATTTCACAATCTCCCCAATGTCACATTTCCATGCACACACACACACACACACACACACACGAACACACATGTGTTGTGTACATACCAAGCTGCTCTGCGAGGAGCCGGCCCTTTTCAGCGGGAACAACCCTTTCTTCCTCCATGTCACACTTGTTTCCCACCAGGATAACCTGTGCATTGTCCCAGGAGTAGGTCTTGATCTGAGTAGCCCTAAAGAGCGACAGATAGAGGACCATGTTAATGACACACACACACCCCAGGCTGAAAAGGGCTCTGTGAAGCTTGAAGAAACCAATTCCCTTCCATGGGAATAGCAACACCCAAGTTACTATTAATTAATTCAGCTGAGGACAGAGACATACCTGCCCCAACTAGCTGTCACAGATGCTGATCCCTGAGCCCTGGTTGCAAACTTTACCTAGCTCTTTGGAGCCCTCTTCTAATGCATTTGCCCGCCCCTCTTCTCAGCAGGCAGAGAAGTCTTTCTAAACCATCTATCTGACCATATCCTTTCTTAAAAGCTTTCTCTCCCCCACTACCCATGCAATGAAGTGCAGATCCCTCAGTCAGGCGTTAAAGACCATTCACCTCCCATCTCTCCAGCCTCATCCCTCTTCCTCCCACTTTACAAACCTTCTCACCCATTCCGCCCCCCAAATGCTTTCCCATGGCTTGTGCTTTTGCCCCTCCTGGGAATCCCGTCCCCACACTAACTTGTCTCAAAGGCCCAAGGTTTCCTGTTGGGAGCCTTTCCCAGGCCCAGCTAGCCTTCCCTCCTCCTCTGTGATTCATAAACCTTAGATCATGATTATTTGCAAAAACCAAAATGTCAGCAGTGCTTTCTTTTATGTACAATGATTATGAAACTTTTTAAAAATAGTTTTATGTACTTTTCAAATTTTGAAAGTATGTTTTACTTCTATAATTAGAAACAACATTTTGAAAGAGGGGATAAAATAGGACCCTTATATTGTGGAGACATCTTTTTGTGGGGATGGGCCTAACTCTGTCCCCAACCAACCAACCAGGTAGAAATGATTACTTCCCTTTTCATTCCCCTTCACATTCACTGTGGCTACTGTTACATTTGGCTGAATGTATCTGTCCTTCCTTTGAGGGCAGGGACAGGCTTATTCATCTTTGGGGTGCCAGTCCCCTGCAAAGAGCACAGACCAGAGAAGTTGACAGTGAATGTCTGATGAATGAGTAAGTCAGAAAATGGTTAATCCTGAAGCAGATCTAAAATTATGACCCTACCCTGACACTGACCCTAAATCTAACTCAGTCCTAACTACAAACTGGATCCATCACTGACCCTGCTGCTCCCAAAGCTGATCCCACCACCAAACTTTTCTTTCAGGGTGAGAAGTCTTTCCCTCAAAGGATGGAATTCACTCAGCCATCACTTGTTGTGGGCCAACAAAGAGCCAGCACTGCTGCTGTGTGCCCAGCCTGCTCAGCTTCTCTGATTCTGAAGAAGAGCCACAGCACAGATGTCCCACCTTCCCCCATCCTCATCCTTCCCACGGACAGGGGCATCGGGTCCTGGCCCCTCCCTCCAACCTGTCTTTACCCCCATGCACCCTTCTCCCTGTGAGTTATGCTCCAGGAAGAATGATGTAAGTTGCTCAGAGGTTGTACCACTGGGGAGCTGGGCTGATTTCCATCGTGAGCTGAGTCTTTACCAACTTGGATTGAATTGGATGTGCTCTTGGACCCCTAGCCCAGCTCAGGGGTTAACTTAATAGGGAAGCAGTATGTGGATTCACTCACTACTGTGCCCACAATGATCTTTCTAAAACATTCATCTGAACCTTTGGTTCCAAACTTGTTACCCCAGCGTGCAAAATCCTTCATGACCTCTGCTCTTTCTGTCCTCGCACTTACCTTCCGCCTTTGCACATCTGTATTTTTTTTCCTAGAACATTCTTATCCGTTCACCCTTCTGGCTAACTTCTGTTCATCTTACAACATGCAGCATATGTCAGCAACTCTAGGACACTTCCCCTGACTCCCCAAGCTGGGTCAGAGCCCTCCACTGGGTTCCCACAGCTCCGGCGACTCTCTTCAACCTGTCACATGTTCTTTTCATTGCCTGTTTACTGATCTCATCTGTGAATTCCTTGAGGACAGGAGCCAATCTAATTCACCCAGATTTCTCTAGCCCATAGCACAAGGCCTAAACCACACTTTAGGTTTTCTTGAACAGGTTGATGAATGAATGAATGAATGAATGAATGAATGAATCTCATACCAATCTTGCACAGCATTGAAAGACTCCTCATTGGTGATATCATACATCAGAATGAAGCCCATGGCCCCACGGTAATAGGCTGTGGTAATGGTCCGGTACCGCTCCTGCCCCGCTGTGTCCTAGGTGGGAAAAGAAAGAGTCAGCCTCCTAGAAAGTTTGCTTTTGTTCCTAAAAGGCCCCCAGAACAATTAACTAATAAGAGCACCTATTATGTGTCTTGTATTATATTTGCTGATTAGAATAAAATGATATTTAAATCCTCGTAGAAATTAATAAGAATATAATTACAATCCCAACAGAAAAATGGGCAAGGGGAATGAACAATTCATAGAAGAAATGTAAATTAATATTTATTGTACAAGGTTTTAACCACCCTGGCCAGTGTTGCTAACTGGTTAGAATGTCAGCTTGCACACAGAGGGGTCATGAGTTCATTTCCTGGTCAAGGGCATATGCCAGGGTTGCAGTTTGCTCCCCACCCTCGAGTCGGGGTACATGTGGGGGGCAATTAGTTGATGTGTCTTTTTCACATCGATGTCTCTCTCTCTCTCTCCTTCCCTCCCTTTCACTCTCTTGCCTTCTACTCTCTGAAAAGCAATGGAAGAAATATCCTCAGGTGAGGATTTTTTAAAAAGGTGTTAGCCATAGGCGGCAAAATACTAGACATATGTCATAGGAAAATCTTTACCGATACAGCTCCTAGGACAATGGAAACTAAGGAGAAAATAAACAAATGGGACTACATCAAAATAAAAAGCTTCTGCACAGCAAAAGAGACCATCAACAAAACAACAAGAAAGCCCACTGAGTGGGAGAACATATTTGCCAATGTTATCTCCGATAAGGGTTTAATCTACAACATTTACAGGGAACTCATACAACTTAACAAAAGGAAGATAAACAATCCAATCAAAAAATGGGCAAAAGACCTAAATAGATACTTTTTGAAAGAGGACATAAGGAAGGCCAAGAGACATATGAAAACATGCTCAAAGTCACTAATCATCCAAGAGATGCAAATCAAAACGACAATGCGGTACCATCTCACACCTGTCAGAATGGCTATCATCAACAAATCAACAAACGACAAGTGCTGGAGAGGATGCGGAGAAAAAGGAACACTCGTGCACTGCTGGTGGGAATGCAGACTGGGGCAGCCACTATGGAAGACAGTAGTTATGGAAGGCTTGTCAACACAGAGATAGTGTATCAGTTAAGTCAGATTGGGTTACTCAGTAACAAGCACGCACAAACCTCAGCAGCTTAAACAACAAGCTTTTCTTTTTCACTGTTGTTACATATCCACTCAGGTTTGGCTGGGTGCACTGCTTTTTGTCATCCTTATTCAAGGATAAAGACTGACAGAGCAGCTACCAGAGGGAAAGTAAGTACATGACTCACGTGTTGGCTTTGAAAACTTCCACTTTTCCCATTTCACTGGCCGAAGCAAGTCACATGCCAGCAGCCAAGAAAGTGCAATCCTATAATATGCCCAGGAGGAGAACTGGAAATGTGATAGACAGCATAATGACTCCCACAGGTGAATCTGTACTGAGCCCAGAAGCATTGCCTGGAGATGCTTATTTGTCAATAGAAGGAGGACAACAGGGACTTTTCTAAAGAATTTTCCAAGCAGAGAAGTGAAGGAGAGGTGTTTTTTAAAAATCTTTATTGTTGAAAGAATTACATATGTCCCCTTTTTTCTCCCATTGACTCCTTCTAGCCTGCCCCCACCCCCCAACCCCAGGCCTTCGCCCCTCTATTGACTGTGTCCATGAGTTATGCATATATACATACAAGTTCTCTGGTTGATCTCTTCCCACCCACCCAGCCGCCCCCGCCTTCCCTGAGATTCTACAGTCTGTTTCATGCTTCTGGCAGAAGAAAGTTCTTGTCAGTGAGTACTCTAAAAGAACTTCAGGAACGGTGGGCAATACGAAACGGGTAAGTGATGAAGCTAGAAAGAGCTTTGAATGGTGTGCTATGGGGTTTGGACGTCACCTTTTGAGGCATGGGATTAACATGATTAGATCTAAATTTTAGAAAGGCCACTCTGACTGTGATGTGGAGAATGGAGTGGAGGGAGAAGACCGGGGAAGCAGAAAGGCTGGTTAGAAGATCTTTGCAGCAGTTCAGGTGAGACCTGATCAGGATTTGAACTAGAGTGGTAGCAATGGGATGGAGTAGAACCAGATTCAAGAGATATTTAAGAAGGCCCTGGCCAGGTAGGTGGCTCGGTTGGTTAGAGTGTTGTCCCAATACACCAAGGTTGTGGGTTCAATCCCTGGTCAGGCACATACAAGAATCAACCAATGAATGCATAAATAAGTGGAACAATAAATTGATGTCTCTCTCCCTCCCTCTTTCTTTCTAAAACTCAATAATTTTTTAAAAAGGAGGTACTTAAGAGGTGAATTACAGGGCATGGTGACAGATTGGATATGAAAATTAGATATGAAGAGATGAGAAATCAAAGATAACAGTGATGTTTCTGGCAGGGCTCAGAGAAATATTCACTGTTTGCCATATTTACATAAAAGCTCTGTGTGTGGACCTATGAAACAGTGCAGCCGTATTTGATCCAGCTCTCCCATGCCCTTGCCTCTGCTTCCTGAGCTCCTCAGCGAACCTACAGATGAGACTCCTCCCACAGATCGGCAGGGTCAGACCCTAAATCTTGTCTTCTAGGGTTTAGAATTAAGCCACTCTTCCATCCAGACTGGTGATCTAGTGGCCCAGGCAGGATTTCTGAGCAACCGCACTGCCACCAGGTCTTAACTCTTCTGCATTATACTGTTTCTCTGCATTATACCTGCATTATACTGTTTCTCTGTGAGAGTTTCTAGTCCCCCATCTCTGCCTGGAGCCTGGCCCTGTGTCCCAGCTCTTTGACAGAAGAGTCCTGTCACCAACTGATGCCCCATTAGTTGAAAATCCTGGCATACTAAATGGGCTTGGACATGGAATCAGTTTCATCTCTGTAGTCCTAGTGCCTGGCACAGAGCGGGGCACACAGTAGGGATTCAACCACCACTGTTAAACAAAAAGCCCATATAGTTTTGATGTTAAGAGCATGGTTTCTGGAGTTAGACTTCTAGGAGTGAATCCGTGTTTTACCACTTACCAACTGTGATTATGGGAGGCAGTCTCTAAAATGGCTTCCAGTTCGGCTGTCATGGCTCAGTGTTTGAGCATCGACCCATGAACCAGGAGGTCACCGTTTGATTCCTGGTCAGGGGACATGCCCAGGTTGCAGGCTCAGTCCCAAGTATTGGGCATGCAGGAGGCAGCCAATCAGTGATTCTCTCTCATCATTGATGTTTTTATCTCTCTCCCTCTCCCTTCCTTTCAGAAATCAATTTTTATATATATATATAAATAGCTTCCAGTGATCACGATCTCCAGGTATTCATGTTCTTATGTAATCCCCTCCTTGGGAAATTTACCTTTTGGGGGCCTTAATTTCTTTTTCTATAAAAATGGGAATAATAGCAATACCTTACTTCATAAAGTTATTGTGGAGATTAAGAAAGTTATTATATCTAAAATGCCTGGGACAGTTCCTAGTACATAGTAAGTACCTGATGGGCATCAGTTATTATTTTGGTACTTCCAGAGTCAGCCTCAGGAGCAGGTCCCCAGGGTCTGCCCCGCTGGCGTGGATGAGACTCATACCATATGTCACTTCCATCCCATTGAACCTGCCGAAAGCTGTTGCAGCTAGAGTCTCACACAAAGTTTCCCTCAAAGCATAGAAAATGGCCAGACAGAAAGGGAATGATGAGTGTAAGAGTTGAGCAGGTCTTGGCCTAACTCCCACTCTGCCATTCACCACCTATGTGATTTTGGACAGCTTGGTTTTTTCATCTCTCTAATGCTCAGCTTCCTCACATCTGGACTGGACATAATAATACCTACTTTGTAGAGTGTTTCAATGAAATAAGATGCTTTTTTAAGTATCTAGCTCATAATAGGAATTCAAACATGGGAATTTATTATTTTCATTATTATTGAATTTTTCTAAGCCTTAATTTCCTCATCGGTAAAGTGGTGATAATAAGACCAACCTTGAAGTGGTTGTGTAAGGATGAGAGCTAACGTATTGGTAGAGCCTGACAGAGTGCCAGGCACACAGTAGACTCTCACTAAAGCTCATAGTAGCTGCTGCTATTACTGTTGACATTGTTGTTACTGTTATTTTACTAAAAGATAAACAAGATGGGAAACAACAGCAATCCTGCCTCACAGCCCTGTGTTCAAAGAAAAGTAGCCCAGAGAATAGCCCCTAAATCACCCTCCCTCTCTTTTATTTTTAAAAATCATTTTTGATGAACATTGATTCCCTTTCCACTGGTGAGAGTCAGAAATAGAACCAGAGAGGAGACAGGAAGGAGAAAGTGGCATGACTCACTGGCTACTTGAGGAAAGAGACCATGTCATCAAGAGCAATCAATTTACTTCTAAGAAACAGACATTCATTGAGCTCTTCATATGGGCAGAGCATAAGCCAGAGAGAGGACACCAGGGTGAGCAAGCCACTGCTCTGGCCTCCAGCAACCCCATCAATACGGCAGAGGGAAGGGAGCTAACATCAACTGAACACCTATTATGTGCCAGGCTCTTTGATACGTGTTTTACATAGGGGATCTCATTTATTTGTAGTAACAAAATACAACTATAAAACTGCTAGTTGAGCATTATTATATGCCAGGCACTTATTTTATTTAACTTTTTAAATCTTCACCCGAGGATATGTTTATTGGAAGGAGAAGAGAGAGAGAGAGAAAGAGAGAGAGAGAGAGAGAGAGGGAGAGAGAGGCATTGATGTGAGAGAGAAACATCGATTGGTTGCCTTCCGTATGTATGCCAACTACAGATTAAACACACAAAAAACCTAGGTATGTGCCCTGATCGGGAATCAAACCCACAATCTTTTGGTATATGGACAATGCTCTAACCCAGTGGTCGGCAAACTGCGGCCCCTTGAGTGTGGCTCTTCCACAAAATACCACGTGCGGGCACGCACGTACAGCAGGATTGAAATTTCGTGGCCACACTCAAGGGGGCAAAGAGCCGCATGTGGCTTGCGAGCCACAGTTTGCCGACCACTGCTCTAACC